AGGTTGCCGTACGTTGAATGGAACCCCGAACCGTGAGTCGGTGGATTACCCTTGGTCTTGGACCAAGTGAGTTGAGGTAAGTGGTGGAATCAATGCAAGTATAATGTAAATTTCATGAGTTTATACGAATTTTGAGTAATTGAGGAATGTCCTCTGTGTAGGCATTCCGTGTTAGTATTTGGGTGTCCTAGAGACAATCTTATGATTAAATAAGGACAGAGATGTAGACCTTTTTAATATTGTTGCAAATAAATAAAAGCACTCTTTATCTTGTCTCATAATTCTGTCTCGATATTAATGTTAATATATTATGAATAACTTGATAAACCCCGTGAAATAAAATAGGTATCTCTTGAGTATCTGTGATGAGATCACAATCATGAGGATTCAAGAATACCGGATGTTTATTCCTAATTTTATTTTCCTAGTCTAGAGATACTGAGAATGGGGTCAGTAATCTCGGGTAAGACTAGCACGACTTATCTACTTGTATATGGATACGAGGTATAGACCTCATGTGCTACAGATATGGAGATGTCTTAGCTAAAGTCGTGGGTGGACCTATAAGGGTATAGCTCGCACTAAACGGACCCACAAAGAGACTCTATGAGGAAGTCTCACAGATAGTATCATTAGAGTAGTCTCTTCATATTTGGGTATGTCTTTCCTTAGACCAAAAGTTATCACTTAGACTGTGTTCTAGAAGGCATGCTTTGACTGTATACCTCGTCTGCCTGAAACATGGAGACTCCTAGGTATGCTCTTGGGCTTGTCCTGATAGGGCACAGGGCTAGGGTGATAAGCTGAAGGAATTCGTCAAATCTCTGTGAGAGATTAGGTTATCCTTAAACCGGAGAAATCAGGATGACATTTACAGTGACTCGGGAATCTATGCATAGTAAAAGAGATCATAAGATGATCCGCCTTTAGAGTTAGTAAATTGAAGACTCCTTATTTCATATAAAGCTAACCCTAAACCGCAAGGGTTGATGCGTTTTCTTACCCTAGGTTTTATGGGAAGGTATCCGAGACGAAGGGACAAACAGATGGCAACCAAATATGTTTAATAGGATGATCAAATCATTAATCTAACTAGTTCTGGGGCAACAAAGCATTGCTAGTGCTCTGTGTTGTCATTAGATGGGTTGTGGGCTTATTGGGCCCAAGCCCATTTATGTCAGTGGCTAAGTTGGACCTAATGGGTCACACACAAACACCTAATTGTCTAGATGCTCTAGCATTAAAGATATTGGGCCTAATAATAGTTATTAGCCCAAGAAGTTGTTTGGAACTCCACCTAAAGGGGTGGAGGGCGCATGGATCATTGTAATGGGCTTGGATAGTCCAAGACATTACTAATTAATTTAATTAGTTAAATTAATTATCAAACATTTAAATTTTAAATTTTGGAATTCGAAATTTGAATTTTGAAATTTTGAATTTTGAATTTGAATTTCGAAATTCGAATTTTGAATTTGAAATTTGAAATTTGAATTTTGAATTTTGAATTCGAATTTTGAAATTTGAATTTTGAAATATGAAAGTTGAACTTTGAATTTGAATTTTGAATTTGAATGTTTGAACATTTGAATTTGAATATTTGAATGCTTGAATTCAAATATTTGAATTCGAATTTGAATTGCCTATGAAAGGTTGTTTCATAACAAAAGGATAAGATAAGATCTTGTTGGAACAAATCACTAGTATCATGAGAGAATCTTTTAGACATAATCCAAGGCTATATATGGCGCTGATTTGGGCTGTTGGTGAGCAAGATTTGCTCATCAAAATCAGCTCCAGAAGATTCAGTCAGTTGGGAGAAAATCTGAGTGAGTTAATTCAAATTTGAATGCAACTACTCAGATGTATCTGGTCACCTTTTTGGGCTATATGGGGCGCACCATATAGCTGATCTTATGAAGATTTCTGATCAGAATTTTGAATAGGTTTTGAACCAATTTTCAAGAGAATATTCTAGGAGCCTGTTAGCAATTTTTGAAATTAAACAGCTCCACTTCTCTCTCTCCAATCTTGCGCCTAATGATCAGATTTTTGGGAGAAAAATCTGATTGGTATTTTATTTTAAATACTCTCCTCTTATGCGCCTAAGTATTTAGTTGTTCCTCCAAGGGTTTTTTCTGAAAAGCCTAGCCTATTCTTTCTTTTCTCCTGCGCCACTTGTGAAGCTTTCACATTGAGAGCTTCACTCTTTCAAACACTTTCACCTAGCCTCCATCTTCACACATAGAGCGTCTAGCAAGCCTCTTTGTGGTGATCATCCGGTGGCTTCACAAGAAGGAGTTCTTGCACCTAGATGAGTGGGTGGTGTGGATCAACGTTAGAGGGTCTGAACCCTTCAGACATGCCTTGATCATCTGGTGATTTCACGAACAAGGTAACATCATGTTTTCCTAAAGCATGATCTTGATGTGCATGTATATTCCGCAAAGAAAATTTTTGTTTTTCCCTCTTGCATGCATCGGCCTTCAAGGCCATTTCGAACTTTCATTCCATTGAGTAACAAGTTTGGAAAATAAGCTGCTGTGAAGCTAGTGAAGAGGCATACTAAGGTAACCTCTTGGTACTGGGGCTTGTTCCCCTTTTCTGTTCCACCATACCCATTGAGGGTAATGGTAGGAAGTGTATATGAGTAGTGTAGAACAACATGAGCATGCATGCATTATCACAGTGGGTACTTATGTACCGAGTCTCTGGCCAGTAGACAGTTAGCCGTCGGGCAGTTTCAGACTTCCACTGGATAGGTCTCCGAGAGGGAGTTCCAGTTGACCTAGGGTCGTGGTGTGTTATCCGGATAGGAGCACACTAGGAATGTCTCGGGTGTTATGGATGGTTGGGGCATCATGGTTGTGGTTCTTGGAACACACCTTGGATGATACCCGTAGGCTTATATATGCCGAGGACGTTGCGTGGTATTGGTAGCTACCATCTCGCTTCGTCGTATTTTATATCCCGATATTCCCCAGTTTCTCTATATCCCTTGCTATATCCTGTTTTGAAAGTGGTTATTTTATATTATTTATATGCATCGAAGTGAACCATTGGCCGGAGTTTTCTCCAGAACCTCTGGGTTACTGAGATATATTCGTATATCTCACCCCGTCTCGGGGCATTTATTTCAGAAGGTAGTAGTGGCACAGGTGTGGCGGGCAAGAGGCCTGTAGGATGAGTCGTGGGAGCATTGTCATTATTTGTTCATGATATATATTTTGCCTAAGTCTAGTTAGTTGTTATGTCATTCGAAGTTATGTTTAAAGTTGTAAATTCAAGTTCATATTTCAAGTTGTAAATTCAAGTTATGAATATGTACGTTGTTATATTAAATGAGATGTTATAAATATGCATGAATATTGATGTAATATGATGGAAGGGCTTTAGGCCTATTGTAGGATGATTATTATATGCTTATGTTGAGAAATGGCATGTAAATGGATCCTTGTGATTGAAACAGGTTAAGGATTTTAAAGTGAGCATTATAGTATAAACTGTGTAATAAATATAAACAGAATTGGGTTGTAAGTGCCCCAAGGCATTGTTGGTCCTTGTGTATGCCACCCATTGGATTATTACTGGATTATTATTGGATTATTAGATACCTTTGAGGCATTAGTGAGCTTGTACAATTTGGGGATTTTAAGGAAAAACAAAGGAAACTCTGGCGAATTTTCTATAGAATTGACATATTTGGACGAACTTCGGGAGAGCAAATCTCCCTCCATAGAGGTTCGATAGGGACGTTCCATACGCCATTTTTAAGGTTGAAATGTACTCTACCTTGTGTCAAAATTTGGGGAAAATCTGGGTTGGTCTTCGACCTGAAAAAAATAGAGGAACGCAGACTGTGCATGTTCCTACTGCACATGTGGCAGTTCTGGACTAGTTTTGGGAAATTAATTCCCGCTTCGTTTCTCAGTAAAATTAAGCATATGATATATCTAATTGAAGGTTGAGGTGTCTAGTTTTTAGCATAAATATTTGAGAGCAATTGTATTAGTGAATTTGCTGCAGTAATTCATAGAGTGAGAGAGGTTTTGAGCTGTTTTGGGGTTGGTTGGCTATTTTGCTTATCCAACTTCAAACGGCGATAACCGGAGCAAATGAGCTCCGATTGAAGTGTGTGATAGCTTATTAGAAAGGGAATTAAGTAAGAAAAAAATATAAACTGAGAAGAAGGTCTGGTTGTGAGCGATGTGTTCGCAGAAAATTAATTAGTGAACCATGTTCAAAGAAGTAAAAACGTAAAATTGAGTAATTGGCTAAGTGGGTTTATGGGGATCCCTTAGTAACTTATAATAAGTAAAGTAAGAAGTAAAAGTAGTTAAAATAAGTATTTCGCAAAAGTTTTCATTTACGGTCACAACTTTTTAATTATTACGCTTTTTATTGTTTTAAATGCTCGCGTAATAATCGAAAAAAGTTTATTCGCATTTTTATAAACGAATTGCTGTGATTGTAACTGGGCTTAATATCATATTAATGTTAACAATATCAGTGTACAACAGGCTGTTACAATCCCTCTAATAGAACCGTTGCCACAATCTCTCTTTTACTGTTTCTGCAAATCATATAACCTCCATTTTCACTTTCTTTGAAACTTGAACGAGGAAGAAGCATTCGCACTTCGCATCGTTAAGGTCAATTTTTATTTTTTTTACTTTGTTTCAATCTATATGCTTGTATTAATGTGTGATGATATTGACAGAATTGAGAACATGCTTGAATTAAAAGACACACTTGGTAGATAGTTTTTGACATTGATCCATGTGATTCAAGTTTAAGCCTAGTCGATTTTCATCCCTTGTGGGCTACACATCTGCACTCTAGGTATTTAAAGATTCCTTAGCCTCAAATTTATAGTTATTTTTGTTTTCTAATGCGCTATCACCACAAAAAAAGCGGCATGTAGCCACTGTATGTTTGCCACGGTTATTATAATCAGGTATATCTAACTCAAAAATTCGAAGTTGGCACGCAAGAAGTCCCACTAAGACAACGCGAGTGAGTGTGAACTTCTAAAATATCAACGGTAAAACTCCAAAACTCCTAAATATTGATCTTTTTCCTTTTCCAACATTAGAGCACCAAATTATGTGTTTCTTTCACAAATGAACGTCGACTTTGTAAGTTCTCCATTCTCATACCATTTTCCTTAAGATCGATGCCACAATCGCCATAGATAAAGCTCCCTAATTTTGATAATGTGGTATTTTCCAAGCTTCTTCTACGGAGGATACTGGTTATTTTTTTCATTTTGGTATTTTTTGGTTTGAATTTCTAGGGTTATGAAGTTTTTATATCTTCAACTCTTTTGTTGGATATCGATTCGGAGGAGAGTGAAAGTATAATAAGGTTAGGGTTTTATTGAAAGCATTGATTTATAGAAAATATATGTTGTTCTTGTTTCCAATTTTGAAATTGAAGTTGGATTTGACAATTTTGTATGTTTTGCTGGGTTCTCGTTTTTACTCATGCTTCATCGTCCTCTTCGCCCTCTTATTCTTATTCATCCTCCTCTTCCAGCTTCGGTTTGTGTTTCCTTTTTGGTAAATTTTACCTTTCTTTTCATTTTAAATCCCTTACTTCTATATTCCCAATCTTAATATTTTTTTTTAAAATTGCTGTATTAACCAACTTGATTGCGGTTTTGTTAGTGATTTTAACAATAGTTTTCTGATAATTAAAGAGCGTTTTGTGTTTTGTAATGACATCTGACTTTAGTGGAGAAGAGAAATACGATTTCCATTTGTACTATGTTGAATTGAGATACTTTGTACTTCTCGAGTCCATCACACGATGGTGTCCTAGACTTGATAAATGCAACAGAAGGCAGTTGATTAGAATTCAAGTGTAACTCTTTTAAGTTTTAGGAGTTTGTTGATATATCACTTGATACTATGGGCCTTATTTTTTACGTGCATTTGGCAATTGCATATCTTGAACTCATTGCCCTTAATTAAGACAAATGCAATTTTGGTTGAACAACATTATCTGACACGAAACTGCTCATGTTTCCATAGGAGTGAGTGTAAAGTTAACCACATGTTAGTGCTAGCAGACCTCCCATCATATTAGGAAGAATAAGGCCCTATTTTGTTATTAACATAAATGAATAACTGGATTGGACAGCTGGAGTTAGTTACAGTGAGTATATGACAATTACAGAGGCAGAGAACTTTAGGATTTGATTGGAATAGAGAGCAAAGGAGAGGCCGGACTATGTTCTTAACTGTTCTTAATCTCTCACTAGCATTAGGACTAACCCTAATATTCTAACAACCATATTAATATTGTTGCAACTATAAATAAATTTTAATTTTGATTAAGGCTGGTAGATGAACTTTTGCAGGTACCAACAGAAGGGTCTTAGAGCTCAAGCTATGAGTACTATCACTCATGGAAAGTCTGTTGCTAGCATAGAGAATTCAAAGAACAACCCTGATCATCTCCTTGTTCTTTGTTAGAGATGTAATATCAAACCATTCACGTGTCTTCACCTACCAACTTAAACTATTGGAATAGTTGGTTCATGATATGGTATGAGAGCCTCTAAAATTAACTTTTCTAGAGTTCAATCCTTGTCTCCGTTCTATAATGCCATCTTTGGACTAGCTAATCTGCCACGTGTCAAAATCAGGATGTATGATGTTCTCAAGGCACAAGATGTTGACACGTTGCCCGGTATCTGTGGCTAGTCTTTGCAATATGAGTGTCAAAAGCAAATAACACCGTTGAAGGAAAAGGTTGGCTGGTCCTGGATGTAAAGGAGTGGGAGAGAGTAGTACTCCAATCACATTTGATTTTGTTTATTTGGAATTCTTATTTCTAGAATTGTCCATTTACCCAAAATAAATAGGAACTACCCAAGTTATGTATTAGAGTCAAAAACTAATTCCCTTCTGCTTTGTAGATACAGCAATCAGACAGTGTTCTGATTTTAGAGTGACAAAAATCTGTGCTTTGTGAACATCTTGCCAGAAATGAGTGACCCCAAGTATGCCTATCCTTACCCTGCTCAAGGTAACCTTCTTTTCATGTTTCTTCTCTTCATATTATATATGCTTACGTCTACTGGACCTTGTTCATTATCAAACATTAATTTCAAAAAGTTTCATCCTCTGAAGCAAGACTTGGTTTTGTCCCATATGATATTATAGATTGATGGTGGAGAGAACTGCCCCTCCCCCTTTATTCTTTTCCCACTTTTGAGATAAAAAGTTGTATTTTTTTTTTCTTGTTTTACCAAATTTGGTTTACTATGTTCTTTCTATAACATTTCTTTCTCCATGAATCATGTTCTTTGCGGGGAACTTTTATTGGCAGGGTATTATCAAGGTCCTCCTGTGATGGCACCGCCACAATATGCTGCTCCACCGCCCAGAAGAGATACTGGATTCCTCGAGGGATGGTAAGTTCCCAACTTTCCATTGCTATGCAGAGTACTTGTTTGTTATGTTCAATTATTAGCCATGTCGTTTTTTATTTTTATTTTTTTTCATTATCACAATGACTCAAAAAATAAATAAAAATATTTAAACACTTTTTCTTTTATTTTTTCAAATTTGTATGATTTGTGATGGTAATGTGACTATAATTCGTTGTTTAATTCTTCTAAAAGTACTTCCGTATCTCACTTGTGAAACTTAATAGATTAACAGTTGGTTGGGTACCCAAAGCATTTTCAATTATAAGGATGGTTTTATTAATTTGCACCCTGTTAACTCAGTTCATTAGTTGCCTAATTTCCAGACCAGTGTCCCTTATAATTACTTAAATAAGAAATTCCAAGTGGAAGTTCCTATCACTGCAGAGTCACAGCATGTTAGCATAAGATGAAAGCCTGTATCCAGAAATGCATGTGGTAGTGGTCGAAAGTTGTATCTGCATCACTTGATCCATGCCCCTGAAGCAGCTAGGATTAGGGAGAAATACACAGACCAAATCTCGGTGAGAACTAGTAGTTATTTTTTTTTTTTCCCTTTGCAACTATCTACTACTGATGTAATTTATGGTGATGGTGAAGTACAAATTTGTATGATTTGTTGCTTTGGTTGCATGGTTCCTGTAGAATGTGGAGTAAGGCTAGTGTGCGCCGGATATGCTGTGTATGGTGTCGACTATGAAGGGCATGGACACTCTGAAGGTGCCCGATCTTACATAAAAAAGTTTGATAACATTATTAACGATTGTTATGACTTTTTCAAGTTAGTCAGTGGTAGGGATTCAAATTATTGACTTTATTTGCATTATTCTCAATGTTGAAACTTTTATACTGGCTGAGAAGAATATAGCTTCATCCATAAAACAGATCAGTTGAGAATAGATCATCAAATTCATCCCCTCCTTCCACATCGGTCTTCTGGGTATGCCTTCACTAATATCATGCTAGCAGTAGCTTAGTTGTATAGTGTCATAGGTGAGGTATTTCTCGGTTTGTTTAATGCCTCTATATATAGTTCAAAGAAGACTAATTCATTTTATGCTGGACCTGAAGTAAATGTATGGAGCTGGAGCTGTGGTGTAATTTTACACGCTCTTCTCTGTGGCACTCTTCCTTTTGAAGATGAAAACATTCCCAACCACTTCAAGAAAATCAAGGTATTATTAATATTAATTTAGTTATTATTAGATTTTCCTTTTTCATTTTGTTGGTTTGAAAAGACTAATAGATTACCTACCAGTACCATTGTCATGCCAAATTATTTTCTTAAATGGTTTTGAGCTTGACATTGTCCATGTGTTGAGGGAGAGCTATGACTAGGCCAGAAAGGCCTAATACTTATTAGGTCCATATTAATGCTACTCTACAGATTAATGCTTCTTTTGAGCACCCCACATCTCAAATCAGATTTATCCCTTCAATGATGTTTATGTGCAAAGAGATTTAATTTTGCATCTGAAGTGTACCTCACTACTAATTATTTGTTACAGGGTGGGATATACAACAAATGCACTAACTGCATGCTGCACTAAAAAGAAAGCATGTGTTCGTGTGAATGCACGACGTCCTTTGCTCTAATCAGCAAGTGGATTTGACATATATTGTGGATAGTGTCAAACAACTTTATGTTCAGTGGAAGAGACAATTTCCTATAAATATTAACTAATTTCTTGAATTTAATAGCAATTCAAAAAATAAAACAATTGATTAGCACCTCGGTGCGTGCCTTTATCATTCTATAGACGTTTTGACATCTATTAATAGATTGAACTTTTATTTCATATTATATATATATATATTTAATATAAAATGTAGGCTGTTACATCAAAATTACATTACTTGTACTATATGGAAATACAATATATCTCTTCACTACACCAAATTTAGATTAAGACTTGTAGATTAACTACTTGGTCTGTGTAGGTGGACTTCGATGAAATGGAAAAAAATAAGAATTTTGAGAAATTGTGTAATAAACATGATTTACTCATATTAATAGAAAAGAAAAATGTAGTGTTAAATTGTGTACTCTACTTTATTTGATTATCTCCCTCAATTTGATTTTTGGTTCTTGTATCAAATGCAATTTTTATTATTTGCGTTTTATATGATTGGGAAAATTTGTAATATTTTTTATTTTTTTAAAAAAATTTCTTATAATTAGCCACAGTTCTGCCAGTGGCAAAATAAAATTTTTCATCATTGGGATCCAAATCGTTTAGCCATGATATAATGTGGCTAATATAACATAAACCGTGGCTAACTCAATGTTACCACACTCATACTAATCATGCTTAAATGCAAAAAATACCGTGGTTAAAATAATGCAACGCCCGTTTTAGCCACAGTTTTTCAAACAGTGGAGAACTCATTTAGCCACGATTTTTATCATTTTTTGCCATGATTTTTGCCGTGGCTAAAGAGAAATTTTGTTGTAGTGTAATGGGATTGTGACATGTTTTCAAAGGTACTATTTTTTGAGCAGTAATGGATCTGCTTGGATTTTGTTCACAAGGTTGGGTGATTCTACTCATGTTATCTATTTTGAGTTATAAGTGATTTACCTTTTAATTGTATCCCCCAAACTCATAGTTTGCAGGATCATAATCTAATTGATTTTGAAGGTGGGTTGCTAGAAAGTATCATAGTCACAAGCTACATATTTTATACCTGCTAATTAATTTTTTACTCGAGTTCATGAATGTTAGTGTTATTACTTTCCGTTGATAATTACATATTTTATGCAATCTTTGTATAGGTACCCACAAGCTTTGTATATAGCATAATTGGTTTCATATACTTCAATTTTGTATATCTTCAAGAGTAGGATTATTATATTACGATTAGAACATGATAATATGGCACTAGAAGCAAATTTTGCACTAGAGAGACTTGATAGGATTGTCTAATAATTTTTGTATGTTTGTATTTTGTTCTATATTTTTTTTTATTCATAGATAGTTGGATGACATATAGTTATGGAATACCAAAAGGCATTTTAGCGAGAAATATAAAGTTTTGTCATATAGTTATGGAATACCAAAAAAAATTGCATGAAAGCTCTGAATTTAAAGTTTTATTTAATTCTAAAACTACAGGAAGCAAGAGTTATGAAGAGGGTATTTAAAAAATTAAAAGTGTATTTTCTTCTTTCCTTATGAATAATTACTTTTAATTAGTGGATCATATTTTTTTTCTTAATGTGCATGTTCGGTACATTTTAATAGTTCATGTTATGGCTATCATAATTTTTTTTCTTAAAGTGAATGTGCGGAGACCTAGAAAAAGTCAAAGGAAGAGTGAAAGAATATGCAGAAAGCTACACTAGACAAATCAAAACATAAAAATTCTTTGACAAAACTTTTAAAACTCTCTAGTCTTCAATAGGTACCAAGTATTATAGGATTTGCTTTTGTTAAATTGTTTTGTTAAAATTTATAAGATCTTGTGAAATAGATTTGTGTATGATGCACCACAAGCTCAACCATGAATTTTAGATTTGATGAGCCTGATTGGAATTCAATGTGAGTGAAAAATATTGAATCTATTCATCGAATATATTGTGGTTGTATCTATGTTACTAAATTTCATTCATCAAGTAGTGCATACAGTAGTTAAATTATAGTACACCAATTTCCATTATTTAAGTAAAACATCTGTATATTGGTATATATTCAATTATTTTTTTAGATTCTCTTTTTAAAATTAATATTATCTTTTTCACTCCTCCTAATTTTATTAACGAGGAAAAATGCAAAAAATCATCCAATATGCATTAAAATACAGTTGTTTCATTTCAAATTACGTACTGTTATCCTTTTTAAAATGAGAAGCATGTTTCCCTTCATGAATATATTGAAATTCCATATATTTAATCACCAAAAGAAATATTTGCATAGATGTTGTTAGCATGATGGAAGAAGATCAATTAATTTCATCTAACTAATTCAAACTTTTTCACTTCATTAAATATTTGATGAGCTTGATTCGGATTCAATGTGAGTGCAAAATATTGAACACTTTCATCCAGTTTTGTGATTGCAACTATGATATTGAATTTCATTCATCAAGTGGTTCTTATGTTGTCAAAGTAGATAACTTAAATGACAACACAAGGCTGGATGAAAGTGTTCGAATATTTTACACTAACAGTGCATCAAAATCAAACTCATGTATGAAACCAAGCTAGAACAAAAACTCAAGGGCTTTCCCCTTTATTGTTTAAACATTAATAAACTCTAGGTAAAAATTGGAGCTTATTATGCAAGAAGGAAGTAGCTTCAATTTATAAAGAAAGTTCTCATTTCTTATGCTATTACTTACTAGAGGTGGGACTAGTATAGGATAAATATATTGAAAACTCATTTGACCTTAGTTGATATATCCTACACATATATATGTGGAGAATGTTCACCTTTTATGCTTTTATGTACCCAAAGTGTATTTAATATTTCACAAATTAAATCCTCATTTGACATTATACTACAAGAAAATAAACATTTACCCACATCCATTTTGACACGGTGGAAAAAATACTGAAAAAAATATAGAAAAAAAGAAATCCATTATATGTGTTTCACCATCATCTCCCTCTACGAGAACCGTTGCAACAATCTCTCTTTTACTGTTTCTGCAAATCATATAACCTCCATTTTCACTTTCTTTTAAACTTGAACGAGGAAGAAGCATTCACACTTCGCATCGTTAAGGTCAAATTTTTTTTTACTTTGTTTCAATCTATATGTTTGTATTAATGTGTGATGATATTGACAGAATTGAGAACATGTATGAATTAAAAGACACACTTGGTAGATAGTTTTTGACATTGATCCATGTGATTCAAGTTTAAGCCTAGTCGATTTTCATCCCTTGTGGGCTACACATCAGCACTCTAGGTATTTAAAGATTCCTTAGCCTCAAATTTATAGTTATTTTTGTTTTCTAATGCGCTAATGGGATCATGACATGTTTTCGAAGATACTATTTTTTGAGCAGTAATGGATTTGCATGGATTTTGTTCACAAGGTTGAGTGATTCTACTCATGTTATCTATTTTGAGTTATAAGTGATTTACCTTTTAATTGTATCCCCAAATATTCTCATAGTTTGCAGGATCATAATCTAATTGATTTTGAAGGTGGGTTGCTAGAAAGTATCATAGTCACAAGATACATATTTTATACCTGTTAATTAAGTTTTTACTCGAGTTCATGAATGTTAGTGTTATTACTTTCCGTTGATAATTACATATTTTACGCAATCTTTGTATAGGTACCCACATGCTTTGTATATAGCATAATTTGTTTCATAAACTTCAATTTTGTATATCTTCAAGAGTAGGATTATTATATTACGATTAGAACATGATAATATGGCACTAGAAGAAAATTTTGCACTAGAGAGACTTGATAGGATTGTCTAATAATTTTTGTATGTTTGTATTTTGTTCTATATTTTTTTATTTATAGATAGTTGGATGACATTTTAGAAAGCTAAAGCAAAAGGCATTTTAGCGAGAAATATAAAGTTTTGTCATATAGTTATGGAATACCAAAAAAAAATTGCATGAAAGCTCTCAGTAATAGAATACTATTGATGATTTTTCTAAAAAATTTCATGTTGAGGTTAAGATTTTATTCCAATTTAGATATGGAGTTATCTGACGTTTATTAAACTTTTGTAGTTTTATAGAGATACCTATTTTTCAAATGAACTTATTCATTTCCTTTATTTCAGTAATTTTTAAAGAAGAAGTGATCAAATTTTTGAAAGAGAGAATCTGATGAGGCTCGCTGTACTTATATGAAAAGGCGCAACACTTTCATTTTACAATTATTATTTTTTATATTCCATAAATTGTGGATGTTGTTACACTTAATGTCGTAGGTTAGTTTGGCTACCATTTAGAGTGATAGGAAACTTTGATAGGTAGGTTATTATCATCAATATGGATGTTGCTTTCGTGTTTGTTTAATAATTTCTATTTAAAGTTTTATTTAATTTTAAAACTACAGGAAGCAAGAGTCATGAAGAGGGTATTTAAAAAATTAAAAGTGTATTTTCTTCTTTCCTTATGAATAATTACTTTTAATTAGTGGATCATATTTTTTTTCTTAATGTGCATGTTCGGTACTTTTTAATAGTTCATGTTATGGCTATCATAATTTTTTTCTTAAAGGGAATGTGCGGAGACCTAGAAAAAGTCAAAGGAAGAGTGAAAGAATATGCAGAAAGCTACACTAGACAAACCAAAACATAAAAATTCTTTGACAAAACATTTAAAACTCTCTAGTCTTTAATAGGTACCAAGTATTATAAGATCTGCTTTCGTTAATTGGCTTTGTTAAAATTTATAAGATCTTGCCAAATAGATTTGTGTATGATGGACCACAAGATCAACCATGAATTTTAGATTTGATGAGCGTGATTGGAATTCAATGTGAGTGAAAAATATTGAATCTTTTCATCGAATATATTGTGGTTGCATCTATGTTACTAAATTTCATTCATCAAGTAGTGCATACAGTAGTTAAATTATAGTACACCAATTTCCATTATTTAAGTAAAACATCTGTATATTGGTATATATTCAATTATTTTTTTAGATTCTCTTTTTAAAATTAATATAATCTTTTTCACTCCTCTTAATTTTATTAACGAGGAAAAACGCAAAAAAT